TGTTTACTGGCGTGAGGGCAGGGCAACCTGTCACTCACATGAGATCGACCAATAGCAAACCACAACCATCCAATCAATTCCCTATGGACAAAATAAAGTCCGCCACTCATGTTTCTACAATTGTCTATCTTTTTATTCACTCCTAAAGAAGGCTGTAACTGCAAGCACAGACGGATGCATGTGAGAGATGTTGTAGTAATAAATTCTAAATGTGAATATTTGTTTTGTTTACAGTATCGCATGACATCAACTAACATCAGAACTGGAATACAACAAATCAACTTTAAAGCCAAAATGACTGCTTGAAGGCAACCAAACATTTTAGCAATGTAGCAATCATGCACAGTCCAATTCTGTTCACTGGTACTACATGTTCTCTCTGTCATAGGGAGAACATGTCTCAAAGAAAACCCTTTACCATTGGCATTCGAAAATCTTTGGACTAAGCTCCAAAAATGCATAAGGAATGGACACCTATAGGTATGGGATTTCTTTACACGGGTTTGCACATTGGTCTAAATTATAGGTTTGCAGTTTCATATGGAACATACACAACATACTGGTAATGTGATTTTGCGCTGTATTAGAAGACATTTAGCATCTGCTAAGAACATGAACATTACTTATTGATGTATATTTTTAAAATTGTAAATATCATTTAAACTTACACCATGTAACATTTTTTGTTCTGAATTGACAACATTTAAATAATGAGTCAACACATCATCAATCCTTCTTCCAAAACGTGATTTTGTCTTATACCCTGATTCAGTATATGGTAAGCCTATTATAAGTGTTTATATTTTAGTTTTGTTTTTTAACCGAAAAATTACATCGTGTACCTTTAAATTAAATTCAATCACTAAATAATGATTGTAAATTATTATTATTCACATAACTGTGTCAAATTCATTGGAAAGTGAGGGATATTAATGGGCCAATATGCAAAATAAATATTTTATAAAAGATTAAAATATATATTAATTGTCAGAAAGATTTGCTTTCTTTGAGAACATGTGGTCAAATGTGTAATCTGATTTTTTTTTTTTTTTTTTTTTTTTTTATTAGAGACCAAATGAGTCTGAACATACAGCCATCTAGTGGACAATATAAAAACCATCAGGCTAACTCCATGGACAACTAGTGTCTGAAAGTGTCTCCTGTCTCTATAAGGTCATATTTAAACAACCTGCACTCAAGGCACACCCATACTCACACAGTCTACATCTACAGCAGTCAGCACTGCTCTTGTGGAACAGTTTGTCCTGTAGTTATTTTCTCTATACTGTTTTTACACAGCTTAATTCTTTTGTATCAGACTTTGGGAAATAAGGTTTGTTGTCCTCATTTTAGATCCATTTGCTTATGAGGTTCACAGTTCAGCTGTCTCTGGCGCATGTGCGGTGATGTACGTATGTACCGTTTCATACAACATAAAGCAGTCTTGACACGAGACAAATTGCTTGTGAGAACTGTTGAGGCATTCAGTTAATTTTAATGCAATTATTTTATTTAAATTACTGTAATTATTTTTGTACTTAATAGGGCTGTCAAATGATTAATCACGATTAATCACATCCAAAATAAAAGTTTTTTTTACATAATATATGTGGGTGCACTGTGTATAATTATTTTGTATATATAAATACACACACATGTATATTTAAGAAAAAAATATTATTTATATATAAAATATTTATATTTATATATAATATAAATTATATATAAATCTATATACAGTATATACATGAAAATATTTCTTAAATATATACAAGCATGTGTGTGTATTTATATATTAATTAATTTATATTGAATTATTTCATGTAAAAAAAACATTTTGTTATTTAATTGTATTTTTCTGGAACATTTTTAGGATTTTAAATAGTTTTACTGATTCTTAATCCTATTGTTAATTGTGTAACAGAAAACCAAATATATTGGTTAAAATTTGCGTGAATACACAAATAAAATACATATGCACAACCAGAACATTCACATACAGTACATTGGCTAATACAAGTATAAGCCACACTTAAAATATAGAAATGGTTCATTCAAATATCCTAAAATATAAAACCATGTGGCATTGATTTCAAAAACAGACAGCACACTTTCTGACCAGAAAGAGTCGGATTAAACATTTAAAGGGGCTATATGTAGAATTAAAAAAACTTTTTTTATTAGTGTTTTTAGCGCACTCGTTCACACGTAACATACGAGAGACTGAACGTGATTTTAAGACCCGGATATACTCACGGCGAAGTTCTTTTTCGTTCTTCCCTTAAAATTAAAAGAAGCTGAATACCTTTGTAGCGAGCGACAATGTTAGCGAACATCCAGACGCCGTCCGTGCTGCTGAGCGTGACGTTTTTAGATGAATGTGTAACTAAACACAACAAAAATTACAGCGGATGAGAAAGCATCTGTTTCAGCTCTGCAATTCACCGGCATCATGTCGACAGATGAGGTAAATAAATACACTGTTAAGGTAGTTCGAACATAAAGTTTGTTTGAAGACATAGATCTTGTATGTGTGTTTGAATCCATTTTATTTGCATGACACATTGAAATTAAAGAACAGAATGGCTCGTTCGGCATAATCAGGAACATTGTATGTCTAGATTTCATTTCATGTGTCAGAACAAACAGAGAAGCTTGGTTGCACGCGTAAACGTCACATCCTTTTGATTTTCCTGGCAAAAACGTCCCTCCACACAAAAATCAGCTTACAGGCTTTCATAGGCAACCCAGGAAGTCGTTGTTTAAGTTTCATTTCAAGCTGTTCACACATTGACAATAAAAAACCGAGTAAAACATAAAAATTCTTACATAGCCCCTTTAACATTTAAATTGTGACTTAAAAGTATCCAAATACTTTTTGGTGCGTCTGTAGTGTCCACAGCAACTGCAGTTGTTAATGTTATTTCTGAAGTACCTGCTTTAGGAGGTGTCTGAGACGAGGATAATTACAGATTAAGGCCAGGGTGTTGTGTCTGACATCAGGTAAAACACACAAACCACGTTACTTGCGTATTGTAATTGCTATAGTAGGCTGCAATAGTTACAAAATATATAACATAAACTGTAAAATATATATTTTTTTTATTGCAAAGCAATGATTGTGGCACCATCTGTAGCTACAGAGTATGTCAACAGAAAACGCCCCTAGTGTAACGTGAACATGATACAAATTGGATGGGTTCGGCTGTTGACAGGCTAAGTGTTTGTGTCATGATCTCTTTTGCACTGTTTGCTCTGTACAGTTATATGGGCCTCTCTCCATCTCTCTCGCATGTCTCCACCGCCATCCATCTCTTTCAGATCTCCTGTGTTGTTCCCCACCCGCCGTAATGACTAAATGATGAGGTACTGTCACAAAGTAACCTATTTTTATCCACTCAAAGTTCTTGTTAAAATGATAAATTATGAAAATGACTTTGTTGAGCAGCTTAACATATACCTGGAACAGGAAGGTATGATTTGTTGAGGGCTAAGGCCCTCCAGGACAATTCATCTAAATGTTTTATAATCTTTTAAAATTCACAATCTTCCAAACATTATTGCTGCAAAATGTATCGCTTGTCCATGTTCTATAGTTTTGGCAGCCAATTCATTTTAAGTGTAATACCAATGCCCAGTGATATGCCATAAATACAATACAATTGAACAACAAACAAAACACAACATAATAGAACAAATAGAATTGAACACAACTCAACAGATCCAAATACAACATAACACAACAATAGAATAAAATAGAACATAAAAAACAGAATAGAATTTAATAGAATAAAATAGAACTTTTACGTTATTGACCCTTTCTTTGATATTCTGTTTGTTTGTTTTTTCCTCCGCTTTGTATAGTTTCGGTTTCCTTGATTACTGATTATACACTTGTTTGTTTCTATGGTTACTTATGATTTGCACCTGTCTCTCATTATGTTCGTGGAATAAAAGCATAGAATAAAACTCAACACAATAGACTAGAACACAACCGAATAGAACTTATCACACAATAAAAGAACATAATATAATAAAAACAATAGAGTAGAACCCAACATACCACAAAAAGAGCAGAACACAATTTAATTTACCTACAAAATAATAGAATATAATAAAACAACACAATAGAATAGAACACAATAGCATACAACTTAACACACCATAAATTAACTGAATATAATAAACATTATAGAACAGAATTTACCACACCATAAAATAACTATCTAGAAAATAACACAAATAGAACTCACCTCAAGAACAGAACAGAAATTTTTTTAAATAGAACAGAGATACCAAAAAAGACTAGAAGAGAACAGCACATAGAATAGGACACAAGTCAACACAATAGAACTCAACACACAAGCACAGATTAGAATAAAACTCAATAGGATAGGATATAATTAAACTTAATATGATAAAAAAGAACTCAACACACCACAAAAGAACAAAACAGAAAAGAATTTATAAGAAAAATAATAGAAGGAAATACAATAAAACACAATAGAATAGAACACCAAAAAAAAAAATGAAAACACATTGGAATTTAACTCGCCATAAAGAATAGCATAGAATAGAACTTAACACGCCACAAACACTGAATAGAATAGAATAGAATATGACCAAATAGAATAGAATATAGAATAGAAAACAACTCAGCACAATAGAATACAGCAACAGATCAGCCCTTTGTTTAATGAATGACACACACTCACAGCGTGTGTATAACACAGCATGCATTAAGAGATGGAAATATCAGGTCATGGCACGCAGGGGGTTGCATTTGATCTTCTGTTCCATGATCTACCAGGCATGTCTTTTCAGCTCAACCCCTCCTCTCCTCTCCTGCTACCACACACACTGGCTGTCAGCTGCCGGTCTCATGACCCGGACGGCACACACTGAGCATGCCCGAGCTGTCGGGTGTTGTCAGGGAGAAAGCACAGCGGAGACAGCGAGAAAAGCAAGCCATGAGAGGAGCCAGACGAGAGACAGTGACGCCAGACAATAGGGGGACTCATTTCTAAGACTCTTTGTGTCAGCCATCTCACTTTATATATACACACGCTTCCTGGTGTAGAGCATTTTGGGATGTTTTATTAAGGTAATGCCATACAAACCTCGTTTAAAGCATCTGCCTTGTCTTCAAGAGGTAAGACTGGAATTTTCTTTTACAGTGCAGAACTACTGCAAATGTAATATAGCTAGTTTAATATTTGATGGATTCTTGTGCTCACATTATGTTGTATTCATTCATATTTGTGTTCATTTATTTATTGTTTAAAGAAAACATCAGAACATCCAACAGGTGTACAGGATAATTAACAAAGACAAATGACGTCTGTAAAGAACAGAAACAATGGACTTATACAGTGTCCACATTATTGATTATTATAATTACTTTATTTAAAAATACTGTATTCGATATAAAATATATATATTAAAAATAAATCAATAAATGTAATCCTCCATATAAAATACATACATGAAATCACATTTTAAGTGTTTTGTAATGTGCACCACACACAAAGTCGATATGTGGTGACACAAATGAACTCTAAATGAATGTTTAATGAATTACCACTCTTGAATTGTGTTGTCACAGACTGCCATGGAGATGACTTTGCTAATGGACCCCAATAAATGAGCTCAGCCCTTCAGTCGGCTTTGTTCAACCTGCGTTGACTTCCCAAACAATTCCCAACCTAGCCAAACCACACTTCGCTGGAATGGATGAATGTGGCAGAGGAAACTCACTAGAGCAGCATCTATGAACAGCATGGTAGGGAAAACAAACATGCTAACCATTATCTAACCCCCTGTACGCAAATAACATGCCTCGACGGACAGTATAACCAGACCAAGCGGATGATCTAAGATGAAGGCTGCCCTACTGACACACTCACCTCGTTGAGTAGATTACTGACTGACTGACAAGGGCTATTCAGTGTCTAATGAATGGGGGATGGGTAATGAATTAGTGCTTCACAGGGGAAATTAGCTGTGATTGACCCCTGATATCTTTTTCAGAGCATCGGTGAGCAATTGTGGAGTGACGAGGACTCGGATGGTGACAGCGATGGTGAGGATTTCATCTACGGCGCCCAGGTTAGCATATTACCAAACAATCTATTAGAAACTCAAGCTAAACCTGAAGCTAATTAGCTAAATTAGTAAACAAAGCTAGTTTTGTTCATTTATTCATGTATTTTATTTATCTATCTACATGTATTTTATCTATAATTTGTTAATTTTGCACATACGTCAGTGGCTGAATGTAGAGTGCATTGGGGTTACCAAAGTGCATTGTGGGGTTTTCAGGGGATTAGTGTAGGTTTAAAGGCAGCTCCCTAGAATGAGGAGCAGCAGATTGGGAGCAGCTGCTTCACAATCGGCAGCCTGATATGTGGTCTCTATCAAACATCGTGCCAGTGCCCAAATCCGGAGACCTCTCGAAGCCGGACAACTACCGAGGTATCAGCCTGACCTGTATCACTGCGAAAATCTACAACCGCATGATTCTAAACAGGGTCCGGCAAGCAATCGACCCTCACCTGAGAGTAAATCAGAATGGATTTCGAGTAGGGCGAACTGCTACAACCCAGATCTTGGCACTCAGGAGATTGATAGAGGAGGTGAGGAAGGACAACCTGACTGCAGTCTTATGTTTCATAGACTTCAAAAAGGCATTTGACTCGATTCATCGAGGCATGATGGTGAAGATCCTGAAGGCATACAGAATTCCTCCGAAACTACTCCGGGCAATAGAGTCCATGTACTCAGGAACAAGGGCCAGGGTGGTGACTCCAGATGGCAACAGCGAGGAGTTTGACATCCTGGCTGGAGTTATGCAAGGGGATACATTAGCACCCTTCCTCTTTATCATAGTCCTTGATTATGCGCTCAAGAAGGCAATCAGTGGGCGAGAGCAGGAACTTGGCTTCACGTTGACACCAAGGAAGTCAAGTCGGCACCCGGCAGTAGTCTTGACAGACCTTGACTATGCGGATGACATTAGTTTGCTCTCCAATAACATGGAACAAGCTCAGGAACTACTACACAGGGTGGAGCTAGAGTGCACTAAGGTTGGCCTTAGGGTAAATGCAAAGAAAACTGAGGTCATGACCTACAACGTACCACCAGAACATCAACCTCTGATAACAGTAGGAGACACTGTGCTGAAAGAAGTTGAGGACTTTAAGTACCTGGGCGCATGGGTCAACTCAACTGAGCAAGATCTAAAAGTGAGGAAGGCACTTGCATGGAGGGCCCTGAACGGCATGAACAGTGTATGGAACTCCAACCTCTCCCGCCAAATCAAACTCAGCTTCTTCGACGCGACAGTAGAGTCTGTTCTCCTCTATGGCAGTGAATGCTGGACCCTGAATCCAACCCTAGAGAAGTCCCTGGACGGGTGCTACACCAGGATGCTGCGTGCAGTGCTTAATATCAGTAAGAGTGTGCATGTAACCAACAAAATCCTGTATGAGGGAGTATCAAGAGTGAGCAACAAGATTGCTGTGAGGAGAATGAGACTTGCAGGACATTGCCGAAGGCATCGCGAGCTGCCAGCCAGCAAGCTGGTGCTATGGGAACCAACACATGGCCATCGGTCAAGAGGACGTCCCACGCTAACATACGTGGACATACTCAAGAGGGATACAGGAGCTCAGAGCACCAACGAACTGGCCGGATGCATGGAGAATCGGGATGCCTGGAGGCAACGATGGAAGGCTCGTCTGAGGACGACTTAGAGAGAGATGGCTCCAGTTTTTCAGATTACCTGAACTTGGTTCAGATTCCATGGTAAAATGAAGAGTATCTGTCCTCTCTTAATGAATAACAAATTAACGTATCGTTCGGGACATTGTTTTCATGTCTATGGCAAACAATTCATTATCATCAGTGCCAGTGGACATAATCACATAGAGCCAGGACAGTATTTGTTATGTAAGAATCGGCTCTAGAAGTTTATAGGTCGCATAGTTGACAATTTCACCATTTTGACTCATAATTTCAATTGCAGGCCTTTTCTGGCCAACCACATGCTATTTTCTTGGTCAGGTTAACGTCATTTGAACATATATTTGAACTGAACTAAATATACACTCACCGGCCACTTTATTAGGTACCCCATGCTAGTAACGGGTTGGACCCCCTTTTGCCTTCAGAACTGCCTCAATTCTTCGTGGCATAGATTCAACAAGGTGCTGGAAGCATTCCTCAGGGAGTTTGGTCCATATTGACATGATGGCATCACACAGTTGCCGCAGATTTGTCGGCTGCACATCCATGATGCGAATCTCCCGTTCCACCACATCCCAAAGATGCTCTATTGGGTTGAGATCTGGTGACTGTGGAGGCCATTTTAGTACAGTGAACTCATTGTCATGTTCAAGAAACCAATTTGAAATGATTAGAGCTTTGTGACATGGTGGAAGTAGCCATCAGAGGATGGGTACATGGTGGCCATAAAGGGATGGACATGGTCAGAAACAATGCTCAGGTAGGCCGTGGCATTTAAACGATGCCCAATTGGCACTAAGGGGCCTAAAGTGTGCCAGGAAAACATCCCCCACACCATTACACCACCACCACCAGCCTGCACAGTGGTAACAAGGCATGATGGTTCCATGTTCTCATTCTGTTTACGCCAAATTCTGACTCTAACATCTGAATGTCTCAACAGAAATCGAGACTCATCAGACCAGGCAACATTTTTCCAGTCTTCAACTGTTCAATTTTGGTGAGCTCTTGCAAATTGTAGCCTCTTTTTCCTATTTGTAGTGGAGATGAGTGGTACCCGGTGGAGTCTTCTGCTGTTGTAGCCCATCCGCCTCAAGGTTGTGCGTGTTGTGGCTTCACAAATGCTTTGCTGCATACCTCGGTTGTAACGAGTGGTTATTTCAGTCACTGTTGCCCTTCTATCAGCTCGAACCAGTCTGGCCATTCTCCTCTGACCTCTGGCATCAACAAGGCATTTCCGCCCACAGAACTGCCGCTCACTGGATGTTTTTTCTTTTTCGGACCATTCTCTGTAAACCCTAGAGATGGTTGTGCGTGAAAATCCCAGTAGATTAGCAGTTTCTGAAATACTCAGACCAGCCCTTCTGGCACCAACAATCATGCCACGTTCAAAGTCACTCAAATCAACTTTCTTCCCCATACTGATGCTTGGTTTGAACTGCAGGAGATTGTCTTGACCATGTCTACATGCCTAAATGCACTGAGTTGCCGCCATGTGATTGGCTGCTTAGAAATTAAGTGTTAACGAGCAGTTGGACAGGTGTACCTAATAAAGTGGCCGGTGAGTGTATATAACATAAATATATTGCAAACCATAACAATGTACCCAACATAGTTGATAGTTAATTAATATACTCCTTGACTTGACATGTTATTTTAGATACATTATTGTAAGAGCCCTCTCGTTTTATTCCTATAATGTATTTAAAATAACACCATAAGATGCCTGTCACATGGTGTTGTGAATGTGATACACCAGTTTTTCGTTTAGTACAGGGAGGGTTATTGTCATTAAATAAAACGTTTTATTTTTATTACTTATATTTATTATCCTCAATAGACATGAAATGTATCCTTGTACGTTGTTGATGACTCTTATGCTAACGCAAGTTTCTATGCAGGGTCATTATGCCACTGACCTGAGTCGACACCCGCAGCTGGACATCGATGTTGGTGCAGTGAAGGACATCTATTCTGAAAGTGCCGTTTTTGTCAGGTACATTTTGACCTACGAAGCTTCAACAAGTCTTCAACAAATGCTAACATGGGAATAAAAGGAAATCAACTAAGCTTGTATATGAGGATCGTGTCATTTCTACTGTGTTTGAGGTCATTGTTCATGATTATTTTATTATATTATTACACTGGAAAACCTGATTGCTGTGATTATTTATCACAACTAAAAAATTCAACATTAGAATAAGAAATAATGCGTTGTTTCAACTTTAAAAAGTATGTGTTCATGCTTGACTTAAAATAATTAAGTTTAGTTAACTTTAGTTTAGTTAAGTTGGATATTTAAGTTATCTCAGCAAATTTTAAGTTGTTATATCTAATTGCAGCCACATTTTGTACAGTGCTTGGTTGGGAAGCCTCTGTCCACAAAATGTTCGCCATCAATGTAACTGGAGTTTTTACCTGCTCTCTTTATTTCAGGGATTATGAGACCATTGACGATGTGGACATTGACCTGCACATTAATGTCAGCTTCCTGGATGTAAGAGCTTTTGGAACTTACTTTAATCATTTCCATATTTAACATATTCCAAATGAGCCATTTGAAAAAGGGCAGAAATGCCCCATCACGTAGGAAAAAGTTCACATCCCCTACTCAGGGCTATTATAGTTAACTTTAACTAAAACTAAAACCATAAAACTTTTGTTACTTGAAATAAAATAAACATTAACTCAAATAAAATATAAAAAACGTATTTCATTACAGCTAGTTCCCAATGCAACATTTTCATTGAGCTTAGATTGATGTACATTTTTTTTTAACTCAAAAAAAAAAAAAAAAAAAAAAAAATCAACATAAAAAAAAAACTGTAATGCTACTAAAATAATGTTTGCATTCTGCAGGAGGAGGTGGCATCAGCATGGAAGGTCAGTAGAACAGAGCCAATCATTTTACGCCTTCATTTCTCCCTCTCCCAGTATCTGGATGGACCAGGTGAGTAACTATTTTAGTTACGAAAGACAGGAAGTGACTCCACTTAAATCCGCTGACAGCATCTCCACCTCTTTAAGAACCCACTGTGGAGGTGTTCCAGCCAACTTGTAAAGATGGTTTCTGCCTTGGGGTGCAGCTTAAAAGGTGAGCTGTGTTTCTATTCTATTTTGTCCAAACTGACATACTGCATATGCCTCGGTAATGATTACGCCAACAAATATTGATGTCTTCGCCCAGAATTCTCAGCACTTTTGTATCTAATCAATGGAAACATCTCAGCAACGAGTTCCTGAACGCACAACAGAGGAAGAGACACAGCTGGTTTAAGGCTGGAGGAACTATCAAGAAGTTCAGAGCTGGACTCAGCATCTTCTCACCAATAACCAAGTAAGATAAGATCCAATCTAGAGCAGTGGTTCTCCCACTAGCCTCAGTGATCATCCAAAGGGAACCGCGAGATAATATAAAAAAAAGAATTCACAAGCTACATTGTAACCAATCACGTCACCGTGTGATCGACAACTAGTGGATCTCTGAGCTGGTGTGAGTGAGTGGAGGCGGGGCTAATTTGCATATTCATAGAACCGCTTGCAGTATTGATTTGGAGAAGAAGGGGGACCTTGGAGTAAAAAAAGGTTGAGAACCACTGATCTAGAGAGTAAAAAATATGCCAAATATCCTAATAGTAATATTAACAGTGTTACATGTTAACGGCTATTTTCCCCCCCAGGTGCTCCAGTGTTCCTCTCATTCAGGGCCCTGGGGTGAAAGCAAGGCCAGCAGGACAAGAGTTGAGAGTGACCCGCTTGATGAGCCGCTCTATGTCCTGCACCAAAGGAGATCTGCACACCTCCAACCCAATTGGACAAGTGCGTTTAAACATGCCTACATATAATAATGTAATCTATATGTATCATGATATCACATGATACATATAGATTTCATCAATGTCACGTCCTTCAGAAATCAAGAAACATTTCTTAATATTATCAATGTTGAAAACAATTGTTAATATTAATATTAATACTTAATATTTTTGTGGAAACTGTGATGCATTTATTTCAGGATTCTTTGATCAATAGAAAGTTAAAAAGAACAGCATTTTTTATATATTATATATTTAGCATATATAAATCTATTATATTGTCGTCACTTTTGACCAACTTAATGCATCCTTGCTGAATAAAAGTATCACTTTCTCTTACTGACCCCAAACGGTAATGTATGTGTATATATATATATATATATATACACACACACACAAACACACTGTCTCTTTGTATATATTAAAGGGACACTGTGTAGGTTTTTAGGTATTTTATTATCTGAAATCGATATTTTTATTCATAAATATGTCCTCAATGGTGTACAAATACCTCTGCAAATTATCTGACTTATCCTCGTAAATGAAGAATTTATTATCTTTATGTACATGGGACGGGTAGGTTCACGGAGGCTTCCATGTCGTTCCGCCATCTTGAAAAACTATAATAGCAGAGAGGGTCAAAAAGTACCAACCAAACGCGTTTCCACAACGCGTTTTCGTTCAGACTCAGAGCCAGCGTCACGTGACTGAAAGCAGCAGAAACGGAGGAGGAGAGCAGTGAGAGGCGCATTCCCGGCAAGTTTAAACGGCTGTATTGCACTCCTATAATTGCTGATTGCTCTATTATTTGTAATGGCGGACCATACATATGCCGAGCCACAGGAGAAGACATCCTCGTCCCAAAAAAAGGCCAGACTTGAACGAAAAAGGAAACGTGACCGGAGATTGCAAAAAAAAAAGAGTAAATGTCGGGATAGCGTTTTCAAGGTGGAAAGAGCTAACGTTAATGCAGCAGAAAGATTTCAGAAGAGACGCTGAAGTTGCCTGCTTTCTCCTCGACAGCTAAGTCAATGTTACAGTCTTAATTATTTTTTTTTTGTCATTGCTTGGTTGTGTACTTTATTATATAGACAGTATAACATTTATAGTCAAAAAAGTTAAACAGGCTCTTTGATGAATAGCAGCTATTGATTAGGCTACTTTACTCAATAGCAGCTATTGATTACTTTACTCAATAGCTGCTATTTAGAAGGTGCTAAAAACAAGGTTTGTAAGTTTACTCTTTATAACCTATAAATTCAGTAAGAATATAGAGATAGTGATTGTTTTTGCATGGTTTGCACACCTAAGGCTACTTCAAGTTTTTAATATTAGCTCAAGTTGTGAATTTGCTATGTGCATAAGATTGTACTGAGAATTACAATTAATTTATACTACTGCTAGACACATAAATTGTACAAACCTCGGTCGTTTCTCTTCGCTGCCTTTGGAAACTTTCAATTCTATTTTGATCGTCTCTTGTAGCTGCCGGGCATCTTTGTCGTCGTTGTGTTGACTCTCGCGCTCCTCGTCGTCCATCTCCTCGCCTAGATCCCACTGATCCACTGCCTCTCTGTCCTCTTCCTCTCCCTCTACCTCTCCCTCTTCCTCTCCCTACTGCTGAATCATCCGATGATGATATCTAACAATCACGTAATTTAGAAAATATAACGAATAAAGGCGGCATTACTACTAATTACAACAGTTCATGTTTTTCAGTGTGGTCTTATGAGTTGCTTTATTCAGCAACTCATACTGTAACATTCGTTTGTTCGTTGTGTCATGTTGCTGTTCACCCGGAGAAAAACTCGATGAAGTCTTTACTACAAGACATCCTGTCATAGCATTTTTGGTACATAACGGCAACCGTAGATGCAATACGCACTTGAAAAAGCGAGGCGCTCTATATGGGGAGGCTGCAGACCTGGAGCAGGCAGATATACGCCCCTGGCAGTTTTACGCCCCTGACAGTTTTACGCCCCTGTTGTTCCTGATGCGTCCAGTAGGGGGATATACTGCGAAATAACATATTTAAATCGACTCTTACACATTAATAACCCGTCCATAGACATTTTTTGTGTGTTTTGTTCATTTAAATATAAACGTTACAGTGTAGATCTGCACGGATTAAAATGTCTGTAGCTATTCAGTTGGGCTTAACTCTCTTCACTCAGCCTACAGAAGACTAGCCTATGTGTTTTTGTGAATTGAACATTTAAAAATACACAATTGGATCAACTATGTTATGACAAGTATATGACCTACTGCAGTTATAGGCCTATTCACCGTAGGTTGTTATATGGAAGACTGAGTGAAATATGTTGTTGTGAATTTATAGTTACATTTAGATATTAACCGAATTTAGCCCATTAGACATACAGTACCATGTAATCATATGGATCCTTGATTAGCTGTACTATTCTCTATTGGTCGTCATACAGCTACAAAACAGTGTCCTACACAGCATTTTATGAAGACAAACACAATTGATCCCTTTTCTAAAATTCCATGACTCCCCTATGGTTTGCCCCTCTTCTTTAACTATTTTTTAAAAGGACATCCATGGTGATTTTATTGTGTGTGTGTGTGTGTGTGTGTGTGTGTGTGTGTGTGTGTGTGTGTGTGTGTGTGTGTGTGTGTGTGTGTGTGTGTGTGTGTGTGTGTGTGTGTGTGTGTGTGTGTGTGTGTGTGTGTGTGTGTGTGTGTGTGTGTGTGTGTGTGTGTGTGTGTGTGTGTGTGTGTGTGTGTGTGTGTGTGTGTGCAGAATTGATGTCAGGTGTGTGTGGATTGCATCAATTTGCTCCTGATCTTCAATGTACAACGGCACACTTGTTGGTGGAACAATAGTGAAAAAAGTGTCAAGCCACTTTAATTTCTTTTGGCCACCAATGATGGACTGTGCAGAGAAAATTGAAAATTACTTTAAAACCACGTCCATGTATGTCTCTGTAAGTTTATTTTGTAAGTCGTAAAAAAAAGATGGGTCTTTAAGTTTAGAGAGATTTTCATTTTCTTATAGCTAAAGCAAACACAGCTTTATGAGATGCAAGTTAAAAAGAATTTGGTAAAGACAGAGTATGATAAAACCCACATTAAGTGCACATACCCTACATTTTAGTCAGTAAGCTATTTTAAGAAATGATGTTGGAAATCATCAAAATATTTGAGTGAGTGTGCAGTTCAACTCTTTACTTGAGATTTACATACATATATACAATATGCCTATTATAAATCTGTCTTTTGTGTGTTCACACCATAGACTGTAAAAAAGCAAGTTAATATATTTCCAATATCTACTGTAATGTTGCCCCAGAAACCATGTGGAGTATGTTTTAATGTAAGGAGTAAACAGGGTCTTCCCAGAAGAGGCCATCTCACGCAAGCTAAAGACAGGCAACAAAAGAAAATTAAAAAGAAAATGAATTTTAAAGTGAGAAGACTAGGGGCAGCTAAACCTACACGTGGTTAGCTAAGTTTAAGCCAGATAGAACATAAACCTGACCATCAAGAACTTTTTGTCTTTCGCAATAAATTATAGACCCATCCATTGATATAGAAATGAATTGATATCTAGGCTACCTATACCAAGCTAATCGTTTATAAATAATAGGCTAAATGTTGCATCATTACTAAACAACAATAACTTTAGCAGATTATTTAACATACAAATGACAGAATCTATAATTTTTTGTCAGATTTTCATTCTAACGATAAAAATCTTGATTATACGGTATTATTACTTTGTCTTCTGCTTTTTGTTCGCTATAAAGCCAAAACAATCTCTGTTACCGTAAATTGTATGTTTATCTCTGTAAAGCTGCTTTGAAACAATCTCCATTGTTAAAAGCGCTATATAAATGAAGATGACTTGACTTGACTTGACTTCTGGGCAAGATTCATCTTCATAAAGACAGAACCATTCAATGATCCTGATTTAAGAATATTCTCCTCTGATATAAAGTCCCCTTTTTCTTCTTTTAAGAAAATGTCAAAACCTTTAAACTCAAAGGTTTCTAAAATAAATAATATCATTGAGTCTGTTGTAAACCTTTAATTTTTTATATTGACAAAATATAAAATTGTATTGATTTGTGTAGCCTCAATCTCTTTTGATGTCCCCCTTTGTTATTTTTTTTCTCTTTCTCACTGTTAATGTCTTGTATCCTTTCATTTGCAACACAAAATAAATACATTTCTTAATTTAAAAAAAAGAAAGAAGATTATTTACTAACATAACTCAATTCGTGTCGCTGTACAGCCTCCCCCTACTGGACGCGTCAGGAACAACAGGGGCGTAAAACTGTCAGGGGCGTAAAACTGCCAGGGGCGTATATCTGCCGGCTCCAGGTCTGCAGCCTCCCCTTACTCGAGGCGCTGGAGAGCAAAATTCGTTTGAATGCAAAATACTATTTCACCACTAGATGGGGGTAATTCTTACTTAGTGTCCCTTTAATCTATTAAACTATTTATGTCAAATGATTGACGCAGTGCTTTTTTAACAGACTGTGGCCGTCCCAGGCTCAAGATCCACAGTACACATCACCACCAGGCAGCTCATTCAACTCTTCTTCTCCTCACAAGCGCTCATGCACTGCAAGAGCATCCCGACCCTGGAGTACGGCTTCCTCGTTCAGGTAAACCTCAACATTATTCAATGCATTCTACGTTTAAATGTAAAACACTTCTAATATTTGCATAATGAATTGCAATTGGTCTTATTTCTTGTATTCTTTCTTGCTGTTTTATTCCTACAACTATTTAACCTTAAATTTACCTAATTATCCTTTTTTGTCCTCTAGGTTATGAAGTACTCAGAACAAAGGATCCCAACTCTGAACGATTATTGCGTGGTCTGTGATGAACAGCATGTCTTTCAGAACGGCTCCATGCTCAAGGTACAACACATACTTGGAAATCTCCATTAAAATACACCGGTACGTCCATACCACTATATAATCACAATCTATTTTCTCATTGTGTCGTTCAGCCTGCTGTTTGTACAAGAGAACTGTGCGTGTTCTCCTTCAACACTCTGGGCGTCATGTCAGGAGCTGCGGAAGATGTAGCCAGAGCCGGATTAACGCAAAGGCAAACTAGGCACGTGCCTAGGGCCCGATTGGCGGGATGGGGCCCAGACAGAGGGACAAAAATAAAAAAATAAAAAAATGTACAAATGTCCTATCTACAATTTATTTCAATATTTATTAATTAACTAAAAATAGTGACGATGTTTATCTTAACCATAGACTGTTACATTACCTCAGATTAACGCCAGCCCATGACTGTATACATATAGAGGCGCCAATTGTCACTCATCTGCAGTTAAACCACTTAATGTTTCCGTTTCAAAGCGGGTGCCGGCTTCTGAAAGTGTGTGTAACGGACGCATCCATCAGGTGCTTGCGAAGCAAAAGCCTAAATAGGCACGCAAAGAAGCACAGCTCGTAATGCAGGTGTGTGAGTTGTCGTCATCTATTTTGGAGTGATTGCAATGTATTCTAAATATAAACTTGTACTGTAGATCAGCGTCATTTCTGGAAAAATCATTCACCGCTTTATTACGAGTTTAAAAGAGCGCGAGCGTCATTAACGTGCCCAGCACTAACGCTTTGAATTTGCGCGTACAATGAATAACATCGCGTCGGGAGCTGACTAAAAACGCTACAAAAGTAAAAAAAGCCAACACACTACAACATTTTAAATGTTTAAAATAAAGGATCTCGGGTCTATCTTCTAAATTCTGCTGATGATTAGATTATAGCCTACCCTGACATCATCTACTTAGTTACGCCAATAATATCGCCAATAATATCAGTTTAGAATTTTTTTTCTAATCAGTAGCGACCGTGTCTTTCTCTTGAATTGTGTATAGCATAAGCTAACAATGCAATGCATAATATCATATTACTTATATTAATAATATGACAATATCTACAGTCAATATTGATTAAATGGGAGGGAAAAACCCTGCCAATACCGCAGCTATGAAAAAAATGATAAAAGCACTTAGGCTATGTTCATCTCCTGAAGTGGTATTCTGGAACTGTGAATAAATTGAATAAAACAGCAAAATAACAATAACATCTTCATTAAACAAAAAAGAGATTAAAGTTTGATTAATATGTAGGCCTACATACAGTAGCCTACTGGTAAAAAGTCTGGACCAATTACTATTTTGAATGTTTTTGAAAGAAGTTTCTTATTATGCTCTACAAGCCTGCATTTATTTGAATAAAAAAAAAAAAATTCTTCAAGGATGTGTTAAATATATAAAAAGTGATAGTGAAGACTTTTTTCAAACAAGTTTTTAATAATCAAAAAATCCTGAAAAAAAGTATCACAGGTTATAAAATAAATATTAAGCACCATTGCTAACATTTGATAATAAATCAGAATATTATAAAGTTTTCTGAAGGATCACGTGACACTAAATTCAGCTTTGCATCACAGAAATATATTTTAAAGTATAGTAAAATAGGAAAACCATTATTTTAAATTGTAATAATATTTCACTATATATTTTTCTGTATTTTTGATCAAATAAATCCAGGCTTGATGAGCATAAGAGACTTCTTTCAAAAACATTAAAAATGGTAATGTGTCCAATCTTATGTACTGTGTAAGTAAAAATATACAACATCTAAAATTAAATGTTGTATAAATTAAAAGGTTAGGAATCATATTTGTTTCAAGAGTTTTTTATTGGGGGTGGGGGGCCTCCAACATGAATATTGCCTAGGGCCTCCAAATGTCTAGAACCGGCCCTGGATGTAGCCACAGGAGCTGAGGTATCACACACACTTCACTTAGCTAAATCAAGCCATACCACACCGTAGACTTCTATTGTTGTTCTATAAGATGGTTTTATATCAAATTTAGATACACTACCGGTCAAAAGTTTGGTATAATTAAGATTTTTGTTATGTTGTTGAAAGAAGTCTCTCTTATGCTCACCAAGGCTGCATTTATTTGATCAAAATACAGGAAAACAGTGATAGTAACATTATTACAGTTTAAAATAACTGTTTTCTATTTGAATAGATTTTAAAATGTTATTAATTATTTTGGTGTCAAAGCTGAATTTTCAGCATCATTACTTTAGTGTCACATGATCATTCAGAAATCATTCTAATATGCTGATTTGGTGCTTATGGTGCTTTATTTTTTTTTAAATAAGAAATTAATCATTTTATTCAGCAAGGATTCATTACATTTATCAAAGGTGACAGTAAAGACATTTATAATGTTACAAAAGATTTCTATTTAAAATAAATGTTTTTCTTTTGAATTTTCTATCACATATCAAGTATCACGGTGGCAGCACTGTTTTCAATAATAATAACAATTATTAATAACTGAGTACCAAATCAGCATATTAGAATGATTTCTGAAGGATCATGTGACACTGAAGGCTGGAGTAATGATGCTGAAAATTCAGCTTTTATCACAGGAATAAATGACATTTTTGTGTATATTCACCAGTAAATAGAAAAAAAATCTTTTAAATTCTAATAATATTTCACAATATTACTGTTTTAGTGTATTTTTGATCAAATAAATGCATCCTCGTTGAGCATAAAATACCTTTTTAAAAACACTAAATAAAATGACTGTTTTATACAGGTAGTGGACCTGCTGGTGGCAATGTGTCGTGCTGCACTTGAATCTGCCCGTAAAAGCATTATCTTTGACCCTTACCCCTCTGTCGTTGACCCTCATGACCCCAAGTCTCTGGCCTTCAATCCGAAGGTAGCTTCTTTACCAAACAAAACGTTTCTAATTTCAGTTTAAGGATTCTGGAATTTCCTGTTTAGAATGACTGTGTGACTTTCTTCGTTCATGTTTCGCTTATAGAAAAGAAGTTACGAGCGGCTGCAGAGAGCATTAGACAGCATCATGTCAATCCGAGAAATAACACAAGTGAGTCATTTGCAAAATGCCAACACTATTTGAGATACGCAATTTTACATTATCCGTGTCTTGACATTATTCTAACCGAGTTTGAAGCGATTCTGGTTAATATAAGAGGACAATTTCAAAGCCTTGTTGTTGTGACACACTTCCTGCTGCCAGTTGGTGGCGCTATGACTGTGACTCACAATAGCTACATCAACGTTCACATTTTATAGACCATCCATAGTCCTTGTTAAGGAAATGATTGACACCTAAACTAATATTTTACAGGGCCCTTATGTTGAAATAAAGAAACAGATGGACAAAATGGACCCGCTTGCACATCCTCTGCTACAGTGGTGAGTGAAGCTGTATTTCCTCCTTCCTTCCTGTCATCGTAATGACCCTTAATCTTCTTTTTCTTCTCAGGATTATATCCAGCAACAGGTCTCACTTTGTCAAGCTCCCCTCCAGCAGGGTAAGGGCGTTTGATCACATATTCTCTCAAATAACAGTGTGCCTAAACCTTTATTTCCTCTGTCTCACTCCTCCGTTTTTGTGCTTCCAGCAACTGAGGTTCATGCACACCTCCCATCAGTTCCTGCTCCTCAGCAGTCCTCCTGCCAAAGAGGCCCGCTTTCGCACCGCCCGAAAACTCCACGGCAGCACGTTCGCTTTTCAGTGAGTTCATATCATGATCGCTAACATAAACCAGCCTGGAGCATCATGAAAATCTTGACTTTTGTGACTAATCCCTGGTTCTCTATCTTCAGTGGTTCTCATATTGAAAACTGGCACTCCATTCTACGAAATGGACTTGTAAATGCCTCCTACACGAAACTGCAGGTACCACGGTTACCCCTAATGTAGTGTGTTACCCTACCACATATTTGCTAATTAGCATATTGGGCCTTGGCCAATATTTCTTCCTGTTCTCTTTGACACAAGCTGCATGGGGCGGCCTATGGGAAGGGCATCTACCTCAGCCCCATCTCCAGCATCTCATTTGGATACTCAGGTAGGAGTCTTTGGTGCAATTTTTTTTTAAATATGCATCGAAAAGTAAATCGTTTTGGACATTTTGAGAGACAGAGACATTTTGGATTATTATTTTCATATTTTGACAATTTGGGACAGGAACCATGTTAATACCATAATTTTCTAGACATGCACCATGGCTGCAAGGGGGTCCACAGAAAATTTGAGAGAAAGAAAAGCATATTGAAATGTATTTTAGGTTTTTCAAGGTTATTGTGTAAGATATTAATCTTAATTTAAGATATTAATTAAATATGTTTAATGCAATAATTTTACATTTTTTATTGATCATTTTCTAAAAACTGGTCAGATATTATTGGTCAGATTAATTACCATAAATATAAATTATTTATAAAAAAAAATGTTTTTTCACAATATTGTGTTTAATCACAATATATCTATAATTTATTTTCCTAAAAACATACCAGATTGAGATGAATCAAAATAAATATAAATTAACATTTTTTTATATTGTTTATATATATTATATATATATATATATATATATATATATAGAATTTAAAAACTGGTCAGACATTATGAGATTAATCACAATTAATATAAATTATTAGTATTTTTTATAGAAACTGGACAGACATTATGAGATTAATCACAATATATATGAATTATTTGTATTTTCCATAGGAACTGGTCAGATTATGAGATTAATCACAATAAATATAAATTATTTGTATATTCTATAGAAACTGTTCGGAATTTTGAGATTAATCACAATAAATATGAATTAATTGTATTTTCTGTAGAAACTGCTCAGATTATGAGATTTTTTATAAGTTATTTATAACTTTTTTTTTTTTTTTTATTAAAAAGTAATTATAAATCATTTATATTTATTGGGATTAAAGTCATTTAGAAAACAACATGGTTTTTTTGTATTATAGACACTTTATAGTATCATAATAAATGGTTTTCATATAAATGTATCTTCATGTATTAAAACATACAGCTGCCTTTATATTCTAAGGAGGAGGCCCCTCACAAAGGTACCATACGTTTTGAGGGTCCTTGGCATCAAGAACTCTGAAACAAACACCCTTATAAATAATATTTGAATATGATAATCAATCATTCTGTACTATGATTTATATCCAAGTACCATCAACACCACTGCCAGATTATGCTTTTAAGGAAACTTTTCTGAAGTATTTGAACTAATTTTGAAGGTTTTACTGCAGTGTTAATTAATGGTGCTGTATTTGTGTGCAGGAATGGGAAAAGGACAGCACCACATCCCTACTAAAGAGGAATTAGTACAGCACTACAACCGGGTCAACACTGTCTTACAGGTATTAACTCTATCTGTGCTGTGGAGATTGGACTGATACGGATGTATTACAGGTGCAATCTGTAGTTAATCGTACTAGGTGAGTTGAACCTGATTGGAAACAATATAAGCAGAGTCATATAAGTGTTATTTGTTCACTTTTGGGATTGCACTCACATCGCTAGTTTGTCAGCTAAAGGAAAGACACTTCTTGTATTGTATGTATCACTGTTAAATGTGTTATTGTTCTTTTGCAGTGTCGACCCGTACATTCAAGGTTTCTTCAGAGTCGGAATCTGAACTGCGTTGCTCTGTGTGAGGGTATGATGTTAATAATACCTGGAAATACAAATTATGTCATTCAAATCATTGTAGAGATTTTTTACTAATAGTAAACATTTTAAAAGTGCCTTATTACATTTTTTTTCAACAGTGATAACATCCAAAGATCTACAGAAACATGGAAATATTTGGGTTTGCCCGATTTCTGATCACGTCTGCACACGGTTCTTTTTTGTGTGAGTATCTTCCCAGCTAACAGGGGAGGTTAACTTTTATGATTAAAAAAAATTGTCCATTTTGGTCATTTAAATTTCGCCTTTAATAAAACATATGTTCAAAGTTATCTGGTCTTATTAAAGTTCTCAAAACGTTAGCATAAAAAAACATAATTTATAGAACATTCATGGAACGTTTTTACCTGAAACGTTTAGTTGGACATTTCTAAAATTGTACTACTTGTGTAAGAAAGTTCAGAGAACATTAAAAAGTAACAATCCCATAAATGAAGAAGAAAATGAAGGGGGAAAAGGCGTTTTTAAAACATTTAAATATGTGGATATTTTTAAAGTTCAGAGAACATTCAGATATAACATTTTTAAATATGAATGTGAACATTAACAAAACAATCATAACTTTTGTTTGCTGGGTCTACGCTTTAGCATGTTCTTGGTCTGTCATTCCTCAGGTACGAGGACGGTCAGGTAGGAGATGCTAACATAAACACACAGGACGTCCGGATACAGAAGGAGATATTGCGGGTGATTGGAGGACAATCGACCTGACTGACCCGTTTCACCACTGTGACGCTTTGAGAAACTCTACAAGGGAACATATCAACTGATATGGGAAAGAATTACCTCAAACTAGATGTTTTTGGTGACGCTCCAGTCAAGTTTGTCTTTACATGGAAAGAACGGAAACCCCTTTTGTAACTTTTTTGATAAAACATTTTCTTGAATTTTAATGTAGTGTCTATTTATGTCATGTTCGCTTTACATTTTTTCTACATCATGAGAAGTGCTGTTAATTAGCGTTGAATTTACAGCAGTTGAAAAAATGTTTCATTCCCATTTTGCCCACTGGGGGTCTCTATTGCCTAAAGAGAACCATAAAAAATAACTTGGAAATGAAATAGGAAAGGCTTCTAATTCTATAAACCTGCCATTTAAAGTGTTTACGTCTATTTACATCTACCACTAGAGATTATAGGTCCTGTTTAATGTATGTTTACTAGTGAAATGCAGCATATCCGTCAGTTTATTTTCATGAGAATGTTGTGATGCCACTTGTTATATGGATCTTAAACGTCTTACATGAAATGTTAACAAGTTTGGTGCTGTGCACTATAAAGGCATCGTGTTCTCATTCACTCTTCAGAGAGCTTCGAGCGGAGAAGACTGACAATAAACTACACGTAATGACACATTACAGACGAAAAAGGTATGATTTTTGTAGATGTCAAACTTAAGAAGACTAAACTAATCTGAGGGTCATGCTTTCAAACGGCCCATTTTATTATGTTAGCTCATTTTCAATAAATTTAGAGCATAACGACAACATAGCCTACCAACATTCTTCAAAATATATATATTTTTTTGTGTTCAGCAGAACAAAGAAACTCATACAGGTTTAAAACAACATATGATGGTGAGTAAATCATGATAGAGTTTTCAATTTTGGGTGAACTATCCCTTTAAGACCTCTCAATTTCCCTAACAATGAAAACGGTTTATAAACGGACTGAATAATGACTAAACCTGCCGAAACGTTACTGCAAACTGTTGGTGTACAGTCTATAAATATAACTTTGTAAAAACAATAGATGTCAATGGAAAGTCCCCATAATGGTAGAAATAAATAGGCTAGGTCTGTTGTCATACTGTTATCTGTCACGACCCCTAAAAAAATTAATAGTGTGTTGCATCGCGCCAAAGTCCCAAAGGACATTTTGACTTCTCGGTTTAGCCAGCGGGTCTGTTCTCCTCTGAAGCAGAAACACATAATAATTCATAACAGTGCACTACATCCACATGAGCCCCGCATCTGCTCCGAGACCCCATACCCTTCCTTTTTTTATCATATTACATTTTTAATTAGCCTTCATCATTTTATTAGAATATTATATGTGTGTGTGTGTGAGAGAGAGAGAGATAGTTTTACTTATAATTATTTATTTTATTTATGTATTATATAATGTATTATATGAATAAAAAACATGATACAACATAATATTAATAATAATACAATGTTAAGTTAACTTTACTGCTAAAGTTCTGCTACATATTCATCCCATATTAAAATGCATTTAGCAAAATTATAATGTGCAATTATAAAGCCATTCAAAAAATGATTATTATTATTATATTAACAAAGTGTTTACGTTGTAAATAGGTTACATTAAGGTCATATACAAAAATGTTATAGGCCAGGCTTAAAAACACTCATTTTATATATTATGTAACTGGGGGTCCAACACAATCTCTGTTTTGAAGATGCCTATGTCATATAAAACACAATTGTTCTATCTTCTTATTTTAGAATAACAAAGTTGAAAAAGGCAGTGGAACATCTCCTGCTTTAATTTGTCCTAATTATCCACTTTGACTAAATTTCCTCTTCTTTGTAGGCTAAATTATGTTTTGACTTCCGAAAACTGCTTCGTATGATAATGTGCACATGGTTTTTCTTTATCATTTACTCTAGTTTTCTTTTAGTTGACAGGATGTGCAAAATGGATTGATGTCTAGCACATCTTTCATTAAATTACACTGTAAAATAAATGTTGTTTCCACTTGAAAGTAAGTGTTCGTGCTGCCTTAAAATGTTAAGTTTAGTCGACTTGAAATGTGTACTAAGAGACAACTTGGGATATTTGAGTTGACTAAACTTACCATTTTTAAGGCAGCACGAACACTTAATTTTTTAAGTTGAAACAACTATTTTTTTCCCAGTGCAGACATCACTACTGAGACATCCCGATGTTAGTTTAAATGATCCACTTTTTATTCTGTTTGTCCTTCTATTCCCCTTTCTTTTACACTTTACCTTTTACTGAGTGTGGTTATTATCTTTCTCGGGACACATTTGAATGCTTTGACCCTCGCAAATGTTGTACAAGTGCAGATCACGGCTGAACACACCTCGATACAATCCAGCTCGAGTAGTTCTGACACCCTCAGCAAAAAGTGTTTAAAAAGCACTTGGCCTGTGCCGTAAGGGAGAACTGTTCCAGAATGGAAGTGAGGCATGAAGGAGCCCTTTCCCAATTTTTCATCAGCGAGAAAATTACCCGGGCAGTTTTCAAGCTTGCATATTTCTCGCTACAGAGGAACTTGCTGTTACAGTTTGTTTTTGAAACGCTCTTGACTGGCGCCCAATTTCTCCTTCCACACCAGCGGACGTGAAGTAAAAAGCAAATCTTTTATATTCCTCTCATCCCTTTGTAAGAGAGATTGCCTCTTTAACCAAAGTTCTCACTGAAGCCCCACTCAGTTGCCTCACACCATTAAACAAACTTCATTCTGACTTCATTTCCCTATGGGTGTTGCAATCTGCAGTGCTCCTCTTTGAGACTTAATTTCCCTTTAATTAAATTAGTAAGACTTCCAAAGAAATCCGCCAGAGAGGCCCTGCGGCTTGGTTTCTGTTGTCGGGTAGATAACGGCTGTGAGTGTGTGTCGTCTATGGAGATTGATAAAGTAATTGAAACAGTAATTGTCAACATGTTCGCTTTTATCTGTTCTGGGAGCTTACTAAAATAAGACCGTCTGGTTGGCAGTGCACTTGAAAGGCCCAGTTTTACCACCAGCATATCTGTAACTGGTCCTATAGCATCTTTAAAGACACTCACTGAAATGTGTCCACTCTTCAGATTAATACAAGAACATGTTTACACTGTAAAATAGCATTCATTTTGGTGGGAAACAATGTAAAAATGCTACAGCAAAAATCTTTACCTAACCAAATATGCAAGATAAACATAAATATATATTTTTTTAAATACACACAAATAAAATAAAATTATAAAACAAAAACATTCTATATATATAAAAAGTATAAATAATAATAAGTAATTCATAATTTGTGCAATTTAACTCTAAATGATAAAGTATATATTATTTAGTAACATATTTTTAATAGTTCAATACATATTAAGTTATTAATAATACAGTTTTGTAGTAATTTTGCTATTGATAAAACAGTTTCTTACAAGTAAACATTATAAATAATTTTATATGAAATTGTGTTATATTTTAAAATACAATGTATATACTTTTAAAGTAAAATATATTTTTAAGTATATTTTTTAATTATGAATCGCCTTATAATTTTGGAGAAAAACATCCCTGCATGAACCATCACATTTGCATTGATTTATTAAAGGGTTTTTCTCTTATTATTATTATTGCTATTATTGTGTACATTATACGGTTTAATGTTGTATTGCAATTTAAAGTAGCATATTAATAAACAATATTTTAATAATTTAATAAATTTTTAATTATTAATTAAAAAACCTGACAAGTATTTTTTCTGTGTAATATAGTTAAAACAGTTTCTTTAAAAAAAAAAAGTAATGATATTTCATATGAAAATATAGTATATTTACCATTATAATATTTTTTTAATTATATTTTTATAATTATGGAGAAACACATCACTGTTACATGTATGTCCTGTGTTTCCCCCGTTCTTTGTGTATTTGGTTCAGTCCTGTTTCCAGTTTCCCGCTCCTCGTTAGTGTTTAGTTTATTCACCTGTGTCTAGTTCATTTGCCCCAGCTGTGCCTTGTTTCCCTAATCTATTCTCTGTGTATGTAATCCCCGTGTTCTCCCTCACTCCTTGTCGGTTCTCGTTCGTATGTACGTTTATGTAACGTTCGTATGTACGTTTGTGTTTGGTGTGTAAAGTTACAGTGTTGTCCTGAGTTTGGAATTAAATCCTGTTTACTTCTATTCTTCGTCTCCTCGTGCTTCCTACCACCGTGTACCGTAACAGAAGAACCGACCAAAAAGGAAAAGGAAAAGAAAGAAGAGGAAGATGGAGATCTGGGAGCTCGCGGGACAGATCACTGCTTTGGCGCTGGATAGCCGTGATCTGTTCCACTTTACCTGGGGCTTTGTTCCACTCGCTGCCTCCTGCTCGCTGGGCGATGAGATAATCAAGGCGTGTTACCGGCGAGGGGCCAAGGTGGTCGACCCAAGGGAACTTCCAGATCTCTCTGGTCTGGACTGGAGAGAGGCACTCTCCAGATGTCTGGAGAGCTTTCTCCCATGGCACGCCGTGTCCGCACCGCTGGTTCCGTCCAGCCCAGCCAAGCCCGCACCGCTGGTTCCGTCCAGCCCAACCAAGCCCTCATCGCTGGTTCCGTCCAGCCCAGCCAAGCCCGCACCGCTGGTTCCGTCCAACCCAGCCGAGCCTTCACAGCTAGTTCCGTCCAGCCCAGCCGAGCCTTCACAGCTGGTCACGTCCAGCCCTGCCGAGCCTGAGCTTCCCTGCAGCCCTGCCGAGCCAGAGCTTCCCTGCACGCCTGCCGAGCCTGAGCTCCCCTGCACGCCTGCCGAGCCTGAGCTCCCCTGCAGCCCTGCCGAGCCTGAGCCCGTCGCCTGCCCGCCAGAGCCTGAGCCCGTCGCCTGCCCGCCAGAGCCTGAGCCCGTCGCCTGCCCGCCAGAGCCTGAGCCCGTCGCCTGCCCGCCAGAGCCTGAGCCCGTCGCCTGCCCGCCAGAGCCTGAGCCCGTCGCCTGCCCGCCAGAGCCTGAGCCCGTCGCCTGCCCGCCAGAGCCTGAGCCCGTCGCCTGCCCGCCAGAGCCTGAGCCCGTCGCCTGCCCGCCCGAGCCTGAGCCCGTCGCCTGCCCGCCTGAGCCCGTCGCCTGCCCGCCAGAGCCTGAGCCCGTCGCCTGCCCGCCAGAGCCTGAGCCCGTCGCCTGCCCGCCAGAGCCTGAGCCCGTCGCCTGCCCGCCAGAGCCTGAGCCCGTCGCCTGCCCGCCAGAGCCTGAGCCCGTCGCCTGCCCGCCAGAGCCTGAGCCCGTCGCCTGCCCGCCAGAGCCTTCTCCGCTGGTCCCGTCCAGTCCTCCCGAGCCTTCTCCGCTGGTCCCGTCCAGTCCTCCCGAGCCTTCTCCGCTGGTTCCGTCCAGTCCTCCCGAGCCTTCTCCGCTGGTCCCGTCCAGTCCTCCCGAGCCTTCTCCGCTGGTCCCGTCCAGTCCTCCCGAGCCTTCTCCGCTGGTCCCGTCCAGTCCTCCCGAGCCTTCTCCGCTGGTCCCGTCCAGTCCTCCCGAGCCTTCTCCGCTGGTCCCGTCCAGTCCTCCCGTGCCTTCTCCGCTGGTCCCGTCCAGTTCCCCCAAGCCTGTCTCTGAACCCGTCACTCCCCCCAAGAAAATTTTGGGGGGGGGATATAAGCCACCCGAGGGACAGTCTCCACCCTGGCCACCTGAAGTGGCCTCTCCACCCTGGCCACCTGAAGTGGCCTCTCCACCCTGGCCACCTGAAGTGGCCTCTCCACCCTGGCCACCTGAAGTGGCCTCTCCACCCTGGCCACCTGAAGTGGCCTCTCCACCCTGGCCACCCGAGGGAAAGTCTCCACCCTGGCCACCCGAGGGAAAGTCTCCACCCTGGCCACCCGAGGGAAAGTCTCCACCCTGGCCACCCGAGGGAAAGTCTCCACCCTGGCCACCCGAGGGAAAGTCTCCGCCCTGGCCACCTGCACGTCCTGCTCCGCCCTGGCCTCCTGCACGTCCTGCTCCGCCCTGGCCTCCTGCATGTCCTGCTCCGCCCTGGAGGCTTCCTGCTCCGGGTAGGCCACTCCCTCGTCAGCCTCCAGGGCGCCCACCCCCCCACCCTTATTGATGTTACTCGGCGCGAGGACGCGCCTTGCAGGAGGGGGAGCTAATGTTACATGTATGTCCTGTGTTTCCCCCGTTCTTTGTGTATTTGGTTCAGTCCTGTTTCCAGTTTCCCGCTCCTCGTTAGTGTTTAGTTTATTCACCTGTGTCTAGTTCATTTGCCCCAGCTGTGCCTTGTTTCCCTAATCTATTCTCTGTGTATGTAATCCCCGTGTTCTCCCTCACTCCTTGTCGGTTCTCGTTCGTATGTACGTTTATGTAACGTTCGTATGTACGTTTGTGTTTGGTGTGTAAAGTTACAGTGTTGTCCTGAGTTTGGAATTAAATCCTGTTTACTTCTATTCTTCGTCTCCTCGTGCTTCCTACCACCGTGTACCGTAACAATCACTGCATGAACAACCACATTTGTATCGAATTCTTTATAGTTATATTTCTTATTATTTTTGTTATCGGTTATGTACAAAGGAGTGTTTAATGTTGTATTTTACATTAATTTTTACTGCATTCTTTTAGTGTTGGTGTTTTGTTTTTGTACCTTGTCTATATGTTAGTACTGACCATAGTTACAGGAAAAGCAACTTATGATAAACTTTAAGACCCTCCATTAATCTAACTGCGTATAAAATATATTTTACTGTACATTTTACAGTGTATAATTGTGCTTTTTACTCTTTCCACGCTTCGTCTCGTTGAACAGAAAGCTTGCCTTGCCTTCTGTCGACCCAGTCTCTAGAATGTTGGATGCTCCCCTTCAGGATACAGACTGTGTATTTTGTCAAGCAGAACCGCGTGGCCCTCTTCTCTGATTGAAATCACAGCCTCGGGGCTCGAACACTTTGAGAGCGTTCAGCAGCCACAGTGGGAATAGATGCAGAAATAGAACTGACGAAACAGCCACCTTTGGTTCACCGTAAATCTTCACTCGGGCGGTTTGTTGTTGCTGTATCAATTTGGCATTCGTTTTTTTATATATAAACATAATTTCATCATTTAAGCAGCTGGCCCAAAGCCAACTTTTAAAAGCAGATTCCTGGCATAAGTCAACTGTGCTTATATAGATAATTGTTTACTGGCTGGATTGTGCCGTCATGCATGGGAGGATGTGTTTTTAAACTCTCAGTCTTAATCAGTCACGCATGTTAATCAGCCACAGACACGCGCTGATTGACAGGACTTAATTAACACTGAGGATTTTAAACGGGGAACTCGGGTAAGCATTTGCCAGGATGAAATTTTCAATTCTGCACGGAGCACTTGCCAGACACAGTTACTGTTTCTTTAAGAGATCTTTTGCTCTTTTCCTCCTCCCTCTCTATGTCCCTCACAACCTCTCAGATTGGGTCTTCAGTGCATTCTGGAGTGTGGCAGTCACCACTTAAGAGTAAATATGCGAAAGGTCTCAGATTATGACCAGGCGTCAAGGGTGAAACGCGGTGACAGATGCAGAACTTCACCTTACAGTGGACGTTTATGAGAGTTCTTAGAGCAAAAAGGTAAATGCATCACTAGACGTTTCTTCAAAGTCAATTCAACGTTAATTTGTTCTTGTTCCATAAAGTTCTTACATTTTTATTTTATTATTGTATTTGTGTGTAATTGCATGTTTAAATACGCTTGACTTTTATATTATTATTATTTTATTTATTCAATTACATTTTTATTATATACACATTTTATTTCCATTGCGTGTAATTGTATATCTAAATACAATTGCCTTTATTATTATTTATTTTGATTTCTTATACGAGTCAAAATCTGCTAAGGGGTCATGATTTAATGTTACAAATCATGTTCAAAATGTATCATCTTTTATTGGAAAATTAAACAACATTTGATCAAACTTTGATTATTGCCTTAATCTTTTAAACAACTGAGAGGATAGTGATCAAACTGCATTTTCTAAAAATCAACTGTCAAATTTATATTACATCAGCATATGAGACTCATTTCAAGATCAACGCGTTGTACGATGTTCACAAACCCGGTGAGGTTTTTCTATTGGATTGGCATTTATTCTCTTTAGCATGGAGTGGGAAGTATTTCACTCACTTCCCTGATCATTCACATTTATACTTGTGTGCGTTATGTATTACGTACGTTACCGTCTCTGACAGACAGCGGCTGGGTCCGAAATCACATACTCTCTTGAGTAGGTACTTATTTTGAATAAGTAATTACTTCATGACTGCTAAAAAGGTATGTTCTATATAGTATGAATGTGTGTAGTATGACTGTAATCTGGACGTACTACATTCGCCATGTTGCCATTATCATGTGACCTGCCATGTTATGTCGCTTCACTGTCATTCATAAATCATCTCCCATGGCCTCATGGGATAGTAAAGTGTCCATCGTTTGCACACTTCAGAATCTCACCAGAAGAAGTAGGTCATCCGGTTACTTTATTCTACTCTTTTATGAGTTCTGTGAATTCAAACATACATCTTTTGTCACATACTGTTTTTCACCTACTATATAGTAGAGAAGCATGAGATTTCGGATGCAGCCCGAATGTTGAAGTCACTCAGGCCGCCATTTTTTTCCTCTTCTCAGAAAGCAATGACGCACTCAAAACATCCAGTAGTGTGGGTTTTCCAGTAAATGCATGTACTTGCTGGACTTCTGCTTCTCGTAAATACTACTGTCTTGTGCATGTTATTTTTTGACAGACTTCGATGTCGTGATATTCAAATGATGTGGATTTAAAAAAAAAAAAAGGATCCTGCGGTAATAATTTATTAGCCAGCAAAGTATTCAGTCAAGTGATTGATGCCCATGAGTGTGTTTTTGAAATAAAGTTTATTTTGTATAGCTTAAATTACATGTAACTCAGAGGCCGACATGTTTGGCTTGTCAAAAGTGTTACGTTCAGCTGTCGCAAATTCATTGACTTTTGAAAATCAAGTTGATTTTTTAACCAGGAAAGGAGTGGTTTTGATGCACAGTTGTTTCTATTGTCTCTGATGACAAAAAGATCCTGCAGATCCTGTTGCAAATAATTGTGGAAAATCGCTTTTTAAAACTGTTGTTCCATTATTACCACTTAGCAGATTTTGTCTCATATTAATGTGTTTATTATTTATGTGTTTTTATTTTAGAATTATTAATTGCAATTCTATTTTATTTAAAATTATTATTTTATTTGTGTAATTTTGAATACATTTGTTTATACTGTACATGGTATAATCCATCAACTACAAGCTGAAAACTTTGATGCAATATTTAAAAGTTTGGATAAAAATGACATTATGCCCAAAATGAGCTAGTTAAATTTAAAATGTGGTTTTGCCTCTCAATTCATCATGTTTTCCCCTTGTTTGGTTACAGCTCCCCTCTAACGGACACTGAAATATGCTTCAAAGGTAGTGACTGAGAAATTGCTGATACTCAGCACTTTCAGCTTTGATGAATTTGCTCGATTTACAGAACAGATTTTTTTCTTTTCTTCATGTCAACTGCCTTGTCATTCAGTTCAGAGCTTTGGGAATAACAGAACATTAGCATTTAATATAATTTGGTTTCCCTCACGTTTGTGCAACTTCTTTTATGTTGGAATACAATAGGGCTAGAACTCAGTTCTGGGAAATATTATCAAGTCGTACTAAATTTTGCCTTCTCAAGAACATATAAATAACCTATAAATATGTTTATGGCGGGCAGAGAGCTCCATGATAACACACAATCTACATGTACCACATCTATCCAACCCTCTAAACTGAATCCCACAAACTTTACTGGATCTCCTAACAAACCAAAGCAAGAAGGATTCAGGAAGGTCTGTTCCACTGGAGAACCAATCCCATGTCCAATCCCAGGACTGGCGTCTGATGTGCTGGAAATGCGTGTGAAGGAAGGAAGCAAGATCAGGAACCTTTTGGGTTTTGCCATGTCTCGGTTTCAAGGCGACGGGCACGCGGCTCCAACGTCGCAGGTTCTGTTCAGTGGGACGGGACGGGCCGTGACCAAAACCATCACCTGTGCGGAGATTATGAAACGGAAAGTGCAGGGCTTGCACCAGGTGTCAAAGCTCCAGTACAGGACAGTGACTGAGGTGTGGGAGAGCCAGGAGAGCGGCCCGGTTCAGATGACCATACACAGAACGCTTCCTTCCATTTGTATTCTTCTGTCCAAAGAACCGCTGGACCAGCAGGAGCCGGGATATCAGCCTCCAGTCGAGACTCTCCCGGAGGAAAGCAAATGGGCAGATGGACCGCATGGGAATGGAAAGCCAGAAAAAAGACCACCGAGTCCTTGTTCTCATGATCTTCCCAGTCTTAAAAGAGCTGCTCTGGAACAGGACAAAATGGCAGCTTTGGAACCAGTTAAAAAATGTTAATATAAAAGTATATTTTGTGTATAACTTGCTATATGCTTATAACTGTCATACAGCTTGGCCATATGTGTGTAATTTGAATGATAAAATGCATGGAGTAATTTTGCTAGTATTACCTCATGGTCTGTGTTTAAATTACATCCAAAATATAAAACCAAATAATTTATTGTCGGCTAGTTCTCTTACACGTTCACTTTCATCTTGCCTGCTCGATGTTATTCATATTTGTATTCAATATTCATTTGGTAACACTTTGGAAAACTGTTCCGTCATTAATTAATAACTATGAACAAATGAGTAACGCAATATTAACACCTTAACCAACAAGAAACTCTGATTTATGAATTAGTAAGTAAGTGCTCAGTTGAATGTGGTAGTTCTCTATTAGCTAATCACTGTATACTTCCCAGAACTACCATACAGGTTCATAATTAATGTGAATAATGCATAAAGTATCATTTTAAAATGAGGGTCATGATAACCCACTATAATGACTCAAGTATTACCAAATCCTTCAGAAGGAATTACTGATTATTTGGAACAGTTTTCTAAAGTGAAAAGCATGATAACTCCCTAGTAATGACTGAAGACAGTAAGGTTTTGCATAGTGTTACGACATCCTTCTAAAGGAGTTACAGTGTTGGGGGAACACATTACAAGTAACGCAAGTTACATAATCTGATTACTTTTTTTCAAGTAACTAGTAAAGTAACTCATTTCTTTTAAATTTACAACAAAATATCTGAGTTACTATTTCATATAAGTAATGCGAGTTACGTAATCAGAGTACTTTTTTAAAGTCACTAGTAAAGTAAAGCATTACTTTTAAATGTACAACAAAATATCTGAGTGACTTTTTTTCAAATAAGTAACACAAGTTGCTTTGTTTTCCCATTTATAAACTGACAGCTGTTCTGTCCACATGAGAAATCATAGGTACGTGCGGAGGCGTTCTGTTCGCTGTGTGAACATGATGGTTATTGTAGTTCTAGATTAAATATGAGCATGCATTTACTCATCTCACTTGAACAAATACATTCAGTATTCCTCAAAATGCATAAAAACAGTGAAATGCAAACTCAGAATATTACACAAACCTGCAATAAATATGTTAACACAAACTATTTAATCTCACTTTTCTTTGCTGCTGATCTATGATCCAATTCAACCATTCTAATAAGCAAAAATTACTTCAGTTAAACATCACATTTGTGTTTCATTTTTTCGTTTTTATTGCAGAAGTAAGTGTTGAGTCAACTTTCTTCTCTGTTCTTCTGCGATCCATAATGGCGGCACAGCTGAAAGGTTTGTTTTAGCTGTGCTCATACTGAACAGGCGTGAATTTGCATTTCCTTCAGCCTGAGGCTTATTCATTTCACTTTTGGTCTGAAAGGGCCTTTATATTTGCCAAAAAAATGAATTTTTGTTTTAAACAAACAAGCAAGCCCAGCACAGGTGAGAAAACAGTAACGCAAAAGTAACGTAACAGATTACTTTTTAAGGGAGTAACGCAATATTGTAATGTATTACTTTTGAAAGTTACTTTCCCCAACACTGGGAATCACAAATTAGTATCCTAGTGAAGATCATGGTAGCTAACTCTATAATGACTCAAGGGTTTCCAAATCCGTCAGAAGGAATTACTATCCAAAATCTTGCAAAAACCCCAAAAGCGTATGACTTCAGTCATTACTAGACAGTTATCATGCTTTTCACTTTAGAATACTGCTCCAAATAATTATTCATTCCTTCTGAAAGATTTGGTAATACTTCAGTCATTCATTACTAGTGGGTTACCATAATCTTCAGTTTAGAATTAATTATACATTATGCATTATTCACATTAATTATGAACCTATAGTAATCCTCTGGGAGGTATGTAGTTACTAGCTTAACTGGTGTATTCAACTAAGCGCTATTACTTACTAATTTGTTAATCAGAGTTTCTTGTTAAGGTATATATAGTTCACCCAAGAATGAAAATTCTGTCTTAATTTACTAACCCTCAAGTTGTTCCAAACCTGTATGAATTTGATAACACTTTATTTTGATACTCCCCCAGCAGCAAGTACATGTCAACTCATTCAACTAACCCTAATCCCTTACTAACACCTCAGTCTACTAATACTCTGAGAGTTAGTTGACATGTGCAGCGTTACTTATAGTCAACAGAATGTTTAAAGGGGACCATCACAATAAAGTGTAACCGGATTTCTTTCTTCTGCTGAACACAAAAGAAGATATTTTAATAAAGAATGTCGGTAATCAAACAATTGGGCCCCATTGACTTCCATAGTATTATTATATATACAGGTCCTTCTAAAAAAATTAGCATATTGTGATAAAGTTCATTATTTTCCATAATGTAATGATAAAAATTAAACTTTCATATATTTTAGATTCATTGCACACTAACTGAAATATTTCAGGTCTTTTATTGTTTTAATACTGATGATTTTGGCATACAGCTCATGAAAACCCAAAATTCCTGTCTCAAAAAATTAGCATATCATGAAAAGGGTCTCTAAACGAGCTATTAACCTAATCATCTGAATCAACTAATTAACTCTAAACACCTGCAAAAGATTCCTGAGGCTTTTAAAAACTCCCAGCCTGTTTCATTACTCAAAACCGCAATCATGGGTAAGACTGCCGACCTGACTGCTGTCCAGAAGGCCATCATTGACACCCTCAAGCAAGAGGGTAAGACAGAAAGAAATTTCTGAACAAATAGGCTGTTCCCAGAGTGCTGTATCAAGGCACCTCAGTGGGAAGTCTGTGGGAAGGAAAAAGTGTGGCAAAAAACGCTGCACAACGAGAAGAGGTGACCGGACCCCGAGGAAGATTGTGGAGAAGGACCGATTCCAGACCTTGGGGGACCTGCGGAAGCAGTGGACTGAGTCTGGAGTAGAAACATCCAGAGCCACCGAGCACAGGCGTGTGCAGGAAATGGGCTACAGGTGCAACATTCCCCAGGTCAAGCCACTTTTGAACCAGAAACAGCGGCAGAAGCACCTGACCTGGGCTACAGAGAAGCAGCACTGGACTGTTGCTCAGTTTTGCATGTCATTCGGAAATCAAGGTGCCAGAGCCTGGAGGAAGACTGGGGAGAAGGAAATGCCAAAATGCCTGAAGTCCAGTGTCAAGTACCCACAGTCAGTGATGGTCTGGGGTGCCATGTCAGCTGCTGGTGTTGGTGCACTGTGTTTTATCAAGGGCAGGGTCAATGCAGCTAGCTATCAGGAGATTTTGGAGCACTTCATGCTTCCATCTGCTGAAAAGCTTTATGGAGATAAAGATTTCATTTTTCAGCACGACCTGGCACCTGCTCACAGTGCCAAAACCACTGGTAAATGGTTTACTGACCATGGTATTACTGTGCTCAATTGGCCTGCCAACTCTCCTGACCTGAACCCCATAGAGAATCTGTTGGATATTGTGAAGAGAAAGTTGAGAGACGCAAGACCCAACACTCTGGATGAGCTTAAGGCCGCTATCGAAGCATCCTGGGCCTCCATAACACCTCAGCAGTGCCACAGGCTGATTGCCTCCATGCCACGCCGCATTGAAGCAGTCATTTCTGCAAAAGGATTCCCGACCAAGTATTGACTATTGAGTGCATAACTGAACATAATTATTTGAAGGTTGACTTTTTTTGTGTGTGTTAAAAACACTTATTTTATTGGTCGGATGAAATATGCTAATTTTTTGAGACAGGAATTTTGGGTTTTCATGAGCTGTATGCCAAAATCATCAGTATTAAAACAATAAAAGACCTGAAATATTTCAGTTGGTGTGCAATGAATCTAAAATATATGAAAGTTTATTTTTTATCATTACATTATGGAAAATAATGAACTTTATCACAATATGCTAATTTTTTGAGAAGGACCTGTATATATATTATATAAAACATATTAATTATTAAGTATTGTTGTGGCAAAAATTCATCTCAAGCAAACATCACTGCGTAAGAGACAGTCAGAGTCAAATTATATAAAATAGAAGTATTTATTCTTGCAAGAATAGGAGCAGTCTAATACACAGTTGTTACCCTGTGCAGAAGAGTGACACACCCCCAGACAGACTGAACTAGCTTTTATCTTAGTTTCAAGGCCTTCTTCCCCCCAGAGCCTTCCTCCCAGTAGTTTTCCATAGACGTCACTAGTTGGTCCAATAAGCCCCCCTGCACCAAAATGGCCTTCTGACATCTAGGTCAGAGGTCCTTGTTCGTCTGTTCTCTGGAGTGTCTCCCTCTTCTGCCTCCCCAGGTACATAAACAGAATCTTCTCTCACTACAAGTGAGACACACATGTGACATTCTTTGAATCATCTATATTTTACACATTGAATAGGTTCTCTCTCTTATGATATCTGTTAGGGATCAATGACTATTAAAATTTCCACAACAAATTCCCGCTTTTTATCATTCTGATTACCCATAATCATAACAATAAACAATAAGACAAATTTTAAGTCATATCATCACACTTATACTCTTCATCTCTGATTTTTGCATAAATGATCACTCTCCTTGAACCTGTGAAGAAAAGTTTAGAATGAAGAAGCATAAGGCTGTTTTTGTGGGGGAAAGGCCCCGTAATATTTTAGCTAGCAAGTAAACATTTTTACTGGGCCGGGCTAAGCGAGAAATCACTGTTCCTGCGCTCCTGTAAACAGACCCTCAGTCACGCCAGTAAGGAAAAAGGTAGTTATAACATAGTAAGGAAACAAACAGATAAAAGTATAATAAAAAATCACTCAGTTTCAAACCCTATCTTTGTACGCCATCTCGTAACACGGATGACCGCTGCTTGTAACCTTCTTTAAATCTTTTGCCCTTAATCTTTCTCAGAAAATAAACAAATAGAAGAAAAACAAACAGAAAATACATTTAACACATATCTCACTGTAGCTCCCGCTAACTGTATCGTCACATAATTTTGTTCATCCTTGGGATAGACTGTCATTTTCACCAATTGAACAGACAGCATGTTTCACCTGTCACTGTAATCATATTCACCCATGAATAACAAAATTATTAGAATAACAATCCTAACT